GATAATATGGTTAACATATTAGATATGTTTGAAACATTTTGAATTTACTTGTGGTACATTGGATTTATTTTCTTTGTTTGGGTGAAGTAGTCCTATCTCATTATTGTATTTGTATTGATAAATTGATAGATAGCCGGACATATACACACACCAATGTGCTCATGTGGTAAGGGACTAATGGAACTAGTCATGGCAAAAATCAATGCCAATTATGGACGGTGGTTCTTCCGTTGCCCAAAATAGGAGAATCACCCAAATTCATTTCAGTGGGTAGATGAATTAACTGAACGTGATGCTTAGGTAAACCCATGTAGAGATTATAAGTACGAAGGCATACCGAATTCCGTAAGTCGGATATTATGTTACTTGCATGCTATGAGTGCAACATACTTTGCACTATTCATCTTATCTCTCTTATAATGGTGGTTCTATTATTTTTGTTTAAGTACTAATTGTAATATTGGTGGTTTATCCATACACCATTTCAGGAAACTGGTTGACCAATATTTTGATGCTATGCTTGTCTTACAATTAGTATGGAAACTAGTGGATTATTAATTTGCATAAATAGTTTGATGCTATACTTATCCTGCAATAATTTGTTATTTTGTTTGTTTAAATATTTATTTTTTATTATTTTATTAATAAAATAATAATTTTATTTTTAATTAATTTATTATAATTTTTGTTGAAATTAATAATTTTAGTTAATATTGAATTGTCAAATACTTTTTTTAATTTGTTTATCATATAAATTATATAAATTATATATTTATGATTGATTGTGTAGATTACTTTTATAAACTGTATATGAAATACATGGAATCAAAAAGTGTGGTATCCACACCCACCAATTTCTCATTCACACTATATAACACCCCCTAAACTATTGGGTCATTGGTAATGGTCTCTTCTATTCATACCTACTTACTTCCCTGTGTTCTTCTCTTCTAGTCATACCTACTTACTTCCCTTTCATTTCATACTTCCTTAAATTAGTTAGCTTACAAGTGTATCCCCATAACCACAATTTTAGGGGTGTAACTTGGGTGAGCCCAGCTTGAGCCTAAATTGGCCCAGTCTAGAATTTTACATGGGCTAGGCTTGGGCCTAAGAAGTTGGGATTTTTTTTTTTTACTTTTCGGGTTGGACTTAGGCCTAAGCCTTAGGTAGACCGAAATATAGATATATTTGTTTATATATGTAAATATGTATGCAACATTTACATATATACATATGTATATATAAATGTATATAGTTGGGTCGGGTTCGGGCTACCTAAATGTTGCATACATATTTACATATATATATAATTTTAGATTGGGTTCATTGACCAACCCAAGCCCGAGCCTAACTCAAGTGCATCAAATTACAATGTAGGCTAGGCTTAGGTTGGAAAAATCGGACTTGACCTCGGGTTCGGTCCAGACTCGAGTCTTAAGCCCAAGTTTTAGGGTTGGGTCTGGGCTGACCATAAACCTGAACCAACCCGCCTGACTTGCACCCCTGCACAATTTATCTCCTAATATGAGGCTGAATGGTTTACCCTCTTGGCTTCATCTGTTCATAGAGCAAATGTATAGGAACGTGTGGCAAACTCTGATTCACTTTCTTTCAAGATTTTTTTTTAACTTTTCTTTCAAGTTATGCATTTTTTTTTGAAAAGCATGCATCTATTCGTTTGGGAGGAACTAGTAATTAAGCACGTGCATTGCACGTTTAATTTTTTTTCATATTAATTACTTGAATTTTAGATATATCTTAGTTAGGATAGAAATTGAAAATTAATAAAAGTAACAATATGGTAAAAAATAAACTTAAATACCTATATTAAATGTGCACCTGTAAAAATTTTAAATTACAATAACAATTATTATTATTATTATTATTATTATTATTATTATTATTATTATTATTATTACTTCTACTACTACTACTACTATTGTTGTTGCTGCTGCTATTACTAAATTTTGTATTCCATTTGTCTTAAATAAAAATATTTTTTATTTTATCAATTATTTTTATTTAATATGATGATTATATAACATTAGAAACGTTCCAAAATGTCTTTGATAAAATTCTATACTTTTTTATCTTTTGTGTTCTATCTATTTTTTTAAATATTTATTATTCAATTATGATACCATGAATTTCTTTGAAAAATTGGATCATTGATTAATCTATTTGACCCAAACCACTAATCCACGATCCAAAAAGAAAAGTAGTTTGATTTCTAGGTTGACATTAAATTTTGTATTACTTTTCCATTATTGATAAAATATATCTTATGTATAATATTTATTTATGTTAAATATAATGAATGTATAATATTAAATATGTATCCAATATTTTATTTTTTTATAAATATATAACATTATATCTTATGTATAATATTTATTTTTGTGATTCTTTGTATTTTCTATTTTTAAAAATTTTTTTATTTCACTATGACATTTCATTGTTTACAAATATACTTCTTACATTTCATACTTATTTTTGTTCAGTATAATGAATATATAATATTAATGACATGCCCAGTTTTTCCCCCACCAAAAGGGAAGAAAATGATTTTGTTTTCCAATTATTTTTTAAAGTATTAATTTTTATATTATTAAAATTAATGTTGTGGAATTAATTAGTTCAATTTAATGATGAGAAATATATATCTTAAATATAGGATTTAATAAGAGAATATACCTTAGATATGAGATTTAATGAGAGATAATAGCAAAATAGTTTTACTTCCAATTGGTTTTAAATTTTACATTTCATTTCCATCATTAATAAAAACATTTCTTATTTATCATCAATGTTTTCAACTTGTTGTTAACTTGGCTGATTGAACCGTTCGAATCGTCACTCAGCCTTAATTCTAGGTTTGGTTCTGTTGAAACTCTCCCTCTTTGTTAAAAACTGTCTAACTTGGGTGGTTCAACCATTGACCCATTCGACCCGATAACCAAGTCGTAGGTTGTGCACTTAATTATGTGCAAACTTTTGGAAGCCATAATTTTGCACTCTGATATCCGATTGGGGTTATCTTTTTTAAATTTTGAGTAACTTTTCAAGATCTATATGTCCCAAGGGCATTATGCACCTTGTCTTGCTATTTTCACGAAAAAAAAAACCTTTTTTTGCCCCAAATTGCAATTTATAATATTTTTATAAATAAAAAAAAATTAAATGGAATTAAAAAACATAAATAAATGTAACATAGTACATATATTATATGTAATATTTGTAAAACATAACTATGATATATGTAAAACATAATTATACTATTTATTGATAAAATATGTATTTTTTACACACACACACATAGTATTGACATAGAGCGATTTGACTCATTTGACATTGAGATTCGAATTGGTGATCTGTGACTTGAAGGCAAAAGCAAGTTGGCCTACAGGTCGGTTTTTAAAACATTGTTTATCATACTTATTATTGTTTAATATGTCAAATATATTATGTTAAAAACGTTCTATTTTTTAATTTCTATATTTTTTTGCATTTTATATATTTTTAAATTTTATTATTTAATTGTGGCAACATGGATTGATCCATTTGACCCAAATGGTTTAATTTCTTACCACCACCTAGATGAAAACACTATTTTTTACAGGTAGATTTTAAAAGTATAAGTTTTTATGTTTTTGAAATTATTAATTTATTATGTATGTATTTAATTATATAATTTAATGATGAGAAGAAACAAAGAAGCCTTAAATATATGATTTAATGAAGGTGAATGCAAATTAATAATTGAATGTATTGAATATCTTAAAATTAACTCTTTTCAATCCATTTAATATCAATAACTAATTACCCTATTTGCCATCAACTTTTTATCAATAAATTTAAATATAAAGGGGTAAATTTTGTTATCACAAAATTACAGAAATATTCTTGAGGCTATTTGTACTTTTTAAAGTAGTATATATATGATTGCAATTAAAATGGACCATTTTATGTGAGAGAAAAAGTAAAATTATTTGTGTGTCGGAGGAGTAAAATGATGTTGTTCCCACTTTACAAGAAAGCGAGAGGAATGTGATACAAATTTTCCATTAGTTTTGGTGGTGCCCCCCAAGGATGATTGGATAAAAAATCAATGTTGGTGTTGCTTTCAGAAGTGTCGGGTCTGCTAGTTTTGGTGTTTTTGGTTCGTGACAGCCATGGTAGATGTTTTGTTGCTAAATGTGGTTCGCTCTTTGCATCCTCTTCACTTCGGTTCAAGGGGAAGTTCTGGCTTGCTTCAAAGGACTCCTATCGCTCTTTGAATGCAAATTTTGCATTCAGGCACGGCCTTGGTCCAGGCCCATCTGGTCTGAGCCCAATGCCAAAGTTGAGGTGGACCCACAGGCAGTAGAGAACAGTGAGATGGAACCGAGGGTAGGTAGAGCGGCAAGCGCCAACCAGAGACAGACCTCGACCGTCATCTGCCCTGCCTACCATCCGTACTACAAAGAGAGAGAGAGAGATTAGATTCGATACGAAAGGGACGGCTCCCGATTTGATTCGACGGAAGCAAAATGTATCCGAGAATCCACCCAAAAACAAAAAGCAAAAGAAGAAAAAAAGGAAAATGTCTGAGAGGAAAGGAAAAATTAGATAGAGAAGTGTTATCTGAAATCTGAATCTGCTCCCCGGAAAAAGCAATTCTTTCAGTTAAAATAAGCCATGCGTACTGCCTTGGGATGTGGAGTGGAGTCGTGTTACAGGAAGGGTATTATAGTAATTTGAAACTAATCACCTTCGATGTTTGTCTTGGCGAAATGACAACGTCATAACGTCATTTGACTCAATAACAACTACCGGATACGGTATACATTTCCTTCAACACTTTCAGTTACAGCTTTACCCTTGCATCGTCTTCGACGACGTCCCTTTCCGTTGCGGATAAGTCAAGGGTATTGTTGTCATCTAGCTAGTGTTGACAAATTTCAATTATAGTCAAGGGTTTTCTTGTCATTTCAATATATAAAGAGAGAGAAAGAGAGAAGCGGGGAGAGAGAGAGAGAGAGAGAGAGAGAAAGAGAGAGAGAGAGAGAGAGAGAGCAGTGCCTAGGGAGGGAACCGTTTTTTCTGTTAATATATGAAGCTTCAGCCTTAGCAATGGTGTCGGACCAAGAAATAGCAAACGGGGTGGAGACTCTGCTCCGTCAGTCTGGCCCTAACACTGTTACTTCCGTTAATGGCGTCGTTCAACAGTTGGAGGTGAAGCTAGGGTTAGACCTCTCTCACAAGGCAGGATTCATCAGAGACCAGATCGACCTTATCCTCCGATCACATGCCCAACCCCATCCTCATCCCAAAGACCATTTTGCTCTCCAGCACCACCCTCAGTTTCAGACCACCCACCCCCAAATCCCTCACCATTTCGCCCTTACCCACCACCGCCCCGGGGAGCTCAACTTCCGATGTCCTCCTCCGCAGTCACAGCCGCAGCCGCAGCCGCACTCGCACTCGCAACGGCCCCCGCCTCCGCAGTATCTTCTGGTGACGAAGGCCGATGCTTTTGTTCAGAACGTTGCTGCACCCGCTCCCGAAATGCCGAAAGAAAGGTTCTTTTTCACTTTTTCCCTTCATTCTTGTTGTGGGTTTTATTTTGAATTCGCCGCGGAAATGTTGACTTTAGTTTTTCTGCCCCCCTTTGAATTTTAGATTTCTTGTTTTCTTCTTGGCCTTTTTGAAATTTGAATTTACAAATTCTGTATTGAAACGCGAAACTGGGGCCATTTTGTTCTGAAATTAGGGCTTTAAGCTTATTTACTGGCATTCTTCCACAGCCAAGTGGACCTTTGGGTTTTATGAAATATAGTTTCGTATTTTGAGGAGCCGAATGATGGAACTTTGCTACGAGTGCCTATGGTTGCTTTGATAAGAGTAAAAGTTCTTCCTATTCCTAGTTTTGTTTTTTTTTTGGGGGGGGTTTACTATTCATCTATCCCTTATCAATTTCATTATTTTTTATCTTTATTCTGTCATTTGATCTTGCCTGATTTGCTTCATTTCACGATGGATACTTGTGTTCTGAAAACTAAATACTCTTTTTGGTTCTCTGCCGAGTTCCAGCTCTCCATTTGTAAAGACGTTAAGGTTGGCTTCCAAATTGGTTGTACTCGGTAGTGCTTCAACTTTTGTTGGCTCCTACTTATATTACGACCCATGTATTAACAAGTCAGCATTCAGCATCTGGCTTCAAAAGTTTGTATGGCCTGATGAGTGCAACCAGTGCTACTGAGAGTTGATAGTAAAATTGATAGGTACTTGTTCTATTGTCTGATTTGGTACAACCGTGCAACTTGTCTAATTAAAGAGAACAAACTTTTGGCACAACTCAATGGACAATTTTAGTCGACCAAATTGATATTGTCTTTCTACCTTCATCATCTGGTTGCCATGTTGAAGGACCATTTATGCAGATCTGCCTAAATGCTAAATAGTTATTCATGGATCTGGGTTTAACTCCACAAATTTGGACTAATCATCTGCTACATGACTGACTTATGTGAAAGATAATTCATCAGGCATATTTTGTAGTTTGATTGCTTTCCTATTTATCTAGATATTGTTCTATGCCATCTATGTATATTACAGTTGTTGGTTTGGGTTGGCAGGTTATCTTCACCCGTATATGCCTACTGTTTTGTTGTTTTCACAATAATTGGAGCTTAAAGTTCTAAGGTTATTTGATTTACTCATATAATATCTTTGTGCACATTTGTCTTGTATATGCAAGTGCAATTGCAGATGGCATGTCCAAATATTATGGTTCACATAAATCAGTCAAATGCGGTGATACTTTGGTCATTATAATCTGAAACTAGGTGTTATCTGTGCTACTTCCGCTCATATAATATCTCATTATCACAGTGCTCCAGCTGGAACAAAAAGAAGAGGTGGCCCAGGAGGTCTAAACAAAGTTTGTGGTGTTTCACCTGAACTACAAGCGATTGTTGGTGAACCATCCATGCCAAGGACTCAGGTTCTTATTCCAAAACCCTAATTCATTAGTTTTCCTTGTCATATTTAAATATATTAGATTTCTCCTTGACACATGGGAGGATCCTAATGGCACCATAAATTTTTTCAGATTGTGAAACAGCTATGGGCTTACATAAGGAAACACAATCTCCAAGATCCAAGTAACAAGAGAAAGATAGTTTGTGATGATGCACTGCGTTTAGTGTTTGAGACAGACTGTACCGACATGTTCAAGATGAATAAACTTCTGGCAAAGCATATTATCCCCCTTGAACCTACAAGTATGTATGCCATTAAAGATGCAAAATTCTTAGTTCATGTGATAGCATGATGTATAATACATGCAGTTTCATGCCTGCAGAAGAGCCAGGCCAAGATTCTAAGCGGGTCAAGTTGGAGGCGGAATCCACAATTGAAAGTACTGAAGCTGCTCCACCTCTTTTGATAATATCTGATGCACTTGCCATGTTTTTTGGTACTGAAGAAAGAGAAATGCTCCAATCGGAGGCTCTAAAACGTGTTTGGGATTACATAAAACTTAACCATCTGGAGGTGGGTGGACAGGAGTATAATTCTTTACCATATCTAGGATTTTAATCGCTATTATAAGGTTCCTTCTGGGTGTGATATGGAAAAAAAGAGGAAAACCCATAAAACATCTCTATTATAAGATTATCTGTTGCTTACTAAGGTATACTGCATTGGGTTCCAAGAAATATATTCAAGTTGGAACTTAGTTCTGTATCTCTATTTCATTTTAGGTTTGCTTTATGGGTGTTATGTGCATACTTCTTTGGAAATTCTGAAACGGTAATATGCTTTTTTAGAATAATCTCTAAGCATATTACATGATCATCAGAATAAAGTCATAGAAGGTAGTCCCCATGCTTTTGATTGAGCCCTTGTTTCTGTGCAAATAAGAAAGCAGAATATGCATTAAAACAAAATCACCTTACCTCATTGCCTGTGGTTTCATTGAGTGGGAATGCTGTGGTTTCAATTATCAAGAGTGCAAATTCAGTTTATTTACTGATTTTTGGACATTTACTAATATTTCTAGCCTTTTAGAGGCAGCACTAATCCTTGGTCCAAAAAGAAATTTTGCTTTGCACCAACCAATTATCGTACATGTTTTATGTATGCTATTCTTGGATAATGTCTTGTCCGTCTGCCTGGCATAGTATATTACCCATCTTTCTTCCTCTATACTTGAAGCTGTATTTGAATGAGCTCTCAGATAATTTTCCCACTTTTATTGTTTATTAGATTCCCATTTAAATGAATGGTCGGTTGAGATTTAACCTGTAGCATGACTAGTGTCTTTGCCTGATCTATTAGGATCCTCTAAATTCAATGGTGATACTATGTGATGCAAAGCTTCAAGAACTTTTTGGATGTGAAAGCTTTTCTGCACTGGGAATATCCGAGATGCTGGCACACCATTTCTTCAAACAGTCATAACATCTTGTAGTCTGGTTGGTATAATCTCTTTAACATTGCAATTCCCTTTCTCTGATATGCAGATTTAACCTGTAATGCAACTATTCCTTTTTGCGACCAGCTTCTCTCTACTTGGGCACATTCAGTTTTTATATATAACTTAATATCTTCCTTGCTAGTAGCCACTTCCATTTAGATTCTGTAAAGCTTCATTGATTTTTTTTATTGGTTATCCTTGAGGAGAACTTGAAAAAATGTGCTTGAATACCATAAATACTTAGGTTTTAATGTGTGAGTGCCATGTGCCATGGAGGTCAAAGTATATAGACCCCAGTCTACATAAAGTGCATGGTTTCTCTTTTACCTTCGTATGATTGGCTTAAGGCTTGTAATCTAATGGTTCTCTTTTGTGACCTGCTTCTATTTTGTTCTGCACAAAGTGTTGAGTTCACTTGAGTATTTTTGTTCTTAGTTACTGATCAAAATGAACATAATAAATATTCTAGAATATTGTGAATGCTAACATTCTGGATAAGAAATACTTCATGGGAGTCAATAATAATGATTAATCTCTATACGAAGTGTATGCTTATTCTGTATGTGATATTAATGACTGGGCCCCCTTTAGATGGGTGATTAGAAAACAGGATAGGCATAATAAATAGTGTTTTTTCCTTTTTGTTAAATGATAGGGATAATAAAGATAAACACCTTATAAATTGATCAAAGAAAAATGCAGAAAATGTAACTTACAGAGTTCAAGAATTTTGCTGAGATGGATAAATGGCAAAGCTGGAAATGATAGAATTTGAATTGAATTGAGTTACTTGGATGATATCCATTCTAAGGTTCAGTTGACTTTTGGTCAGAGTTTGAAGGTGCAGATTTGAAGAATTTAGACTGCATCTGGGCTGGGCCCCTTCAAAATTTAACAAATCCTCAATCTGGGTCTGCCCAAATTGCATCACTTAGTTGGTCTTTGTTTTGACATTGTATGCTTTGAGGACTTGTATTTGGATAGTAATATGGCTCTTGACAGAGATAGTCTTTTTTGGGCAATGTTGTAACATGATCATCAATCTCAGGGAGGGTTAAGAGATTGTACCCTCCCTCCTTTCTGTTGTACTTTATGATCATTAATAAAATTCTGTTAATTATCCAAAAGAAATATGGCTCTTGACAGAAAGGCTGAATTTAAAATCAATTCGAGTTTTTTTTCCTCTCTTTTTGTACCTTTCCTGGGGGAGGGGGGAGAAAAAGAGTGAATCCTTCTCTTGCTTCTCATGTTCCTTTGACTATATTAATATTTCTTTGTATTTTATATTTAATTTCGCAAATGTATTTCCATCTGGACTTGAGTAACTAAAAATCTCTAGTGTGTGTGTGTGTGTGTGTTTCGTTTCTTGTAACATCCTAGTCGGTGTGTTTGTGAGTGCTTGTATATTAGCTCAATCCAACCCAATCCAATATAATTCATTATGGATGGACCAGGTCCAGTCCAATCCAATAAATACTTTGGACCATTAAGTCTGGATTGGTCCAATTCAATGTCTTGTCGGTCCATCCAATCAGTCCAAATTGATTTTGGATTGGACCCGATCGATCCAAAACCGGTCCATTGACTCCCCTAGTATCAATACTTTGAACCTTGCACTAATCTGCATGATCTATTGAAGAATGTCCCTTTTTTCTGTTCTGATAGTTTTAGTCTGAGGGTCATTGCTTTATGTGATGATTAAATATCGAGCTGACAGTAGTAATACTGGAGGCTAGGTCTCTATACAGTTTTCCCTCCCAAGACCCATGTAGCATTTATGGCTGGGATGAGCATTGGGTAATGGCTTCTATGGCACTACTTCCTTTATTTACTTGGATAACCACTTTGATCTGATTATTCTTCCACTGCCAAATTAGATTGCTGAACCCCAATTTGTCGCTCCATGGTTTCTACAGCAGCAGCCCACCATCTTTCCTCAGTCATCAATTCAGGTGTGGGAACAACGAAAACATTCACCCATAATTTGACGGGTTTGATTAGTGATAACCCAAAATCTTAATATTTTGATAATTATTAGGCCAGTTGAGTTGGATTTCACCAAAGAAACCTTTCTCGTTGTGCTTATTTTCCAACAAAATTATTAGTGGTTATATGTATCCCAGGGGTGTGGATTTATTGTGCCTGGAGTTATCTGATTTTGGTGTACCCTGGGTCTGGAGTCATGCAATTTTAGAATTTGGTAAATGCATTTGATTCGAACAAGTAATGCCTTTCTGTTTTTGTTATGAACTCGAATAAAAAAAGAATTGATGGGTTTTGTCGTTAATGTTACTTGCAGGTGCAGATGTAGGGCGTTGATGGCAGCTAGTCTGTTCTGACAGATACTTGTTTGGTTTTTTGTATGTTTTGATTGGTAGATGTTATTACGTTTACAACTTGGTTATTTATGAACAAAATGAAAATCTACTCTCTGGGTCAGTGGCAAGGAGTCTGTTGTAGTTGATGCCAAGGCCCTGGGTTCTGGTTTTCTCATTTAGCATCTTTGGATTACAGTCAATTTCCTAACCACCTAAGAAATACAAAAAGATGGAAACCCAAGGAAAAGATTAGGAAAAAGTTAATATTAACATCTCTGTGATGAATCTGTTTCTTTGAAAACATTATCATGTTGTTTGCATGTGGGCTGGCATGGCTCTTACCACTTCACAAGAAAACAGAAAACAAAAAATTAAATAAAAGGCATGACCATGGGCCCATGGCACTTAAATAGATACAAATAGTTGGTGGCATGTAGTTGGAGTAAATTATCAATATAAAATCTATCCTTTTCTGAATATTAGGTGTGCGCTTACAAGTTACAAATTGATTTTGCAAGACAGTTCAATTCTTTATATTACAAGATTCTGCTTCTTTTTCCGTGAAAAGATGAACAAAGAATTTTTGAGCCCATGGGCAAGTCCTGAGTGAGACCGGCTTCAGTCAGGGCAAATTCATGACCACACCGTTCTAACAGCCTTTTCCAACCTTGCATTGGAAATATCTCTCCATAAATAAAACATATTAGTATGAAGATATCTCACTGCAAGGCAGTAAAGGCTGCCCGAATAGAGTTTGCCCTGACTGAAGCCGTACTCGTCCTGAGTTTGGGGACAGCTAATATTACATCCAAGCATGCATCTAATTTAATGAGGTACCACTTACAATTTTGCGGCACCAGATGAATAGAATCAATGTTTAATATTATCGGTATATCATATCGTACTCGTAAGCTTGGAAAATAGATAGATATCTTGATACGTTTTGGATACGGTGGAACAAGGTTTTTAAAAACAAAACGAACCGTTCAGGGTCCAGTTCCTGTGCCGAATGGTTCAACCGTTTGAACTGAATGGATGGCCCGTTTTGATAAAAAAATGGCCAAAAATTGTTGGACGGTTCAAATGCCTGAGTGAGCGATTTGCTGACCAAATCAATGATTTTTGGTCAAAAGATGGTTATGGGGTAAAACAGAACTGGTCAGATGATCGGTTTCTGGTTTTTCCGGTCTGACCATTCGATCTGGTCCAATTTTGAAAATATTGTGGTGGAAGGACATGGATGATGTATGGTTTGGATACTTCAACGGTATTCTAATAAATTTCTGATATCTGTTAATAACACATTAAAATTAAATGTAAGGTTGAAATAATTAAGATATAGACACATAGGAAATGAGTTACTAGAAAAAAAATACATAAAAAATGTATACTTTAATACTATAAAAAAAGGGAGAATGACGGTTCAGCCTAGGGTCAGAATCTTTAGACCCAAACTACAGTTGGAATGGGTGCTAGCTCAAAATTGATATTAATTCACGAGCAGGCATTGATGTATAAAGTGGGGTTTTTTGACATTTTGAATGCTTATAGATCTGCAGTGGAATTCAGAAATCTGCATTGGATTTATCGGTACAACTTTATTGATGATGTATCAAGTAAGAGTACTATATATATATATATATATACATAGATAGATAGATAGAGAGAGAGAGATTTTACAATTTATTATTATATATAAAGCTATTAATATATTATCATAATATCATGTTAATTTATCAATTATTAATAACAAAAATCTGTAATTAATTTGAAAACATTAGATTCACCAAAATATAGAAGACCCAATATGCAACTATTATATTTCAATCACCAATCAATTATTTTCTATTGTTTCTTTTTCTCTTCTCATGAATGGTTTTGATTTGTATCTCCCTTATCTATACTACTATAAAGCATATAATTTGTCTTGAATTTAGTGCAAGTCATAAAAGTTGAATTTGATTATACACATATGAACTTAAATCATTACCCTCTTCTCTTGCATAGGTGCATAACATGTGCCCTTACACGAGTATATCTATATAAAGGGTCATCTACTAAAATACTCCTTATAGTTTTATTGATTTACTAAAATCTATCATATAGTTTGTGATCAAATTACTTAGTAGACCTTCCATTAAATGAGAATGAAAAATGATAGTTTTGACCCTAATGTCTATTTGAATAAATTTAATAAAAAAAATAAGGGAAAATTCCTTATCAGTACCTTATATTTTGTCAAGTGAATCCCCGAACTTCAAAATATGTCTCTGTAGTACCCTAAACTTTCAAATTGTGTCTAATAAGTCTATTGTTAGTTGACCATTAGTCAACACTGTCACATGACATGAGGTGCACATTAAATAATTTCAAAATGGCAAAATTACCCTTAATGGTATTTTTCTAACCATTTTACCCATCTTGTTTAAGTGTTAAGGTTTGTTATGGGACCAAGCATGTTGGAATTGCACACAAGCTGATGGCTATCCAAACCTTACTAATCACTGACGAGCTTTTCAGAAGTTGTAATGTGGAGATGAGGAAGAAATATGAGAACTTGGTAAACTCAGTCGAGAAATTGGGAGTGAAGGTTCACGTATTTTCATCATCCACAAAACAACTTGTTGAGTTCTCCGCCATAGTCACCACATCTGAAGCGCTATGCTTGGCTCTTGAATTGGTTTATGTAGAAATGGCAAATAAATAAAATAAGATGACACATGATGAGTATTTCTATCATTCACTTGTTTGTTAATCTGTTAACAGATAGGGACCTAGACACAATTTACACATTTTGAAGTTTGGGAAATGACTTGACACAACCCCTAAAGTATAAGGTACTATTGATGAGGAATTTTTCTAAAAAATAAAAAGAAAAATAAAAATACTATTTTTGCCTTTAATAAGACACAAGCAACCACTCTATTTAGTTAATTTTGTTTTCCATATGAAAAAAATATTAGGGATAAATTTTGGAATAAACAATCACGGCCCATGCTAATAATGCCTTTAAACATTTTTCACTCAATTTAGGTGATCATATTACTATTTTTAGATGGAAAAACAAGCATTCTTAGTGAAAAGTCGATTAAATAAATAGGTTGCAAACTATAAGGAGTGTTTTAGTAAAATGAAAATTATAGAATATGTTTAAGTAAATATGTGAAACTATAAGGGATGTTCTGGTAAATGACCCTTAATAAATATTTCGTAATTATTTCCCATAAATTTCCTGGAAACAAATTATTCTGAGATACCCAATCTAGTTAACAACATGACAAAACTATATAAGGTCTGAAATTGTCTTTTGGTGGTTTCATTTGGCAATAAAAAAAAAAAAAAAGAACCACAACCAAAAAGAGTACTATATATGTATTTTCCTTCTCGCTCTTGCACCTGCTGCACATTTACATTCTTGCAATTAGGGGTGCCAATTGGACTGGATTTGGTCCAAACCAATCCAATCCAATGTCTGTCCATTATAAGTGGACCAGGTCCAATTCAATCCAACGAATATTTTAGATCATTTTGGACCGATCCAATTCAACATCTGTACCATCTAATCTGTTCAAATTCATTTTGATTTAGATTGATTTCAACTCAAACCCATTCCATTGACACTTATATTCTTATCTTATATCAATGTACCAGACATTGGCTTAATCCAACCCAATTCAGTATAAATTTATTAAAGGAGGACCAAGTCCAATCTAATCTAATAAATATTTTGGACTGGATTCATCCAATCTAATATGTCTTATTGATATATCCAATCCGTCCAACTTAATTTTGGACTGTACAGGTCCAATCCAAAACCGGTCAATCAACGATCCTTATTCCTTCATCAATGTTAAAATGCAGTTATCCTCGACTGGTCGTCCACGAGTTGTCCTTCTCATGCTTCCGTTTCTCTATGTAACGAACTACTTTCTCCCAATTTTACAATTGCACTCTGATACTTCACCAACATGTAAAAAATGTTCTGGTTATCCCTTCGAGAAAATTCCCTTCAAATCCCGATTGGATATTTCAACATCTGGCATTCTGGCCTGGAGAAAGGAAAAAGAATCCCTGGGTCACTGCAAATTGCAGAGCCCAATGCCCATTTGAAGCTCTTCCACTTACCAATACACTGCACTTCCCAAATCGATTTAACAGTTCAGGGTTTTCAAGCTCTGAACTTCATTCAGTGAACCGTCCAATCTTAAGAGTAACAACGGACTTCTCACTTCTCTCTTGCTGGAAGAAAATGACAAAAGACATCTGCCACCTTCCCTATATTTTTGAATCAATCACGACCCTTGGATCCTTATGGTTGTGGTCCATTCAATTTCAACTACTATGTCGGCCATAGCAATATACAAAGGAAAGACACGACAACCTTCACCCGGGCCCAATCCTCAGACTCATCTGGTTATTTTCCCAAAAGCCAAAACCCTGAAACGGATTCTCTCGTGGGTCGTGTTTTCTCAGTCCTCACCGTCCAGCGGTTCAATCACAAAACGAGAGACAAGCCCAAACCTGAAATTTCTATTTCCAGATAACTCCCTCGACTCTCCCTATAAATTGGTCCAGGGAGCTTACCACAGACACCAGTTTCACAAGAGTTTTGTAGGGCTGCAGAACGTCAGAAACAAGAACAAGATAGACATGGCTAAGACCATCAGAGTTGCTTTGGTGCTAGGAATGGTGATGATGGTGGTCATGGCACTGGATGGAGCCAAGGCCATGACTATATGCAACATGGACTCGTCTCAGCTCGCTCAATGTCTGCCGGCCATCCGAGGCCCATCTCCGTCGGCACCCACCAGCGAGTGCTGCAACATCATGCGCACAGCCGACCTGCACTGCCTGTGCAGCTACAAGTCTATTCTCCCCAACTTTGGCATTGATCCCGCTCTGGCCATGTCATTGCCTAAGAGATGCAATCTGGGTCAGCCACCGACATGCTAGAGAGGGGTGAGTCTAAGCTTTAGAACCACCTTTCCGACACAGAAAAAAAAAGGAAAAAAAATCTCTATAACCAGCTTGGTTTATCCCTTGTTTACCTCTTTCAACCTCTGCAACTAATTCATGTTGCAGTAGCAGTGCATAATGGCTTTACCCATCTTTTCTGCTAACCCTTTTTCTGTTGATTTTGCAGGTTGCAGAGGCTGGAGGCGTTTGGTTATACTACTCGCAAGAAGTTGTTTTTATGTCTACTTGGCAGTTAGATAGTGTCATCTTGGTTTCTAGTGTCTATGGATTCCTGTGTGGTCGAATTTAGAGGCGTTTTCGCTTCAATTTTCAATCGAAAACCATCACAGAAGCGATCTAGTTTATTATGTAGTACTATTTAGAGGTTGTTTGTCCTCAATTTAATTAAACAGTCTGGTTTTCCATGTTATTGTTTGATGGATTAGTTTTATCTTTATGTGTGTGTGTGTGTGTGAACTGTCTCCTCCTTCTTTTTAGTTGTAACAGTGACTCAGCTCCTTGAATGAATGAATGTACGTAAACTGATCAGAAGGCAGGTGGTACAGTGGACCACATATGGCTCAAAAGAAAGATCGCTTCAACAAGAACAGTACAGCTACAACGATGACTAAAGTGAGAAAAAAGTAAATTACTCTCCGTTGTCTCTCTTTGGTTACAGTAAAGGAACCAATTTTATCCAAAACCAACATCACACGCGCCATAATTTTCTGCAAGACAAAATGATCTCCATTAGCATTCATAAGCTTTGAATTAAATAAATAAATATATATATATATATATATATATATATATATATATAGATAGATAATTAAAAGTAGTATAATAAGCTTCAAGTGTAGAATACCAGTCTCAGGGGCTCAATATGGAGGAGCGGTTCCATAAACATCTCAATGTTCCTGCAGGATTCAAACACAATTAATCTATAGCTAGTTCAGAAGCAACACTTGTCATTTTGTATCTTTCATTCTCTCTCTTCCCTTTTTTTTCCTTCTTTTTGAATGAGTTGCAGGGAGGGGTTAGTAGTTCTTCTGGTTTTGAAAATTTCCTGATCACCTTATCATCACCTTCCCATGGTAGACATGGCACGTATGGAAGCTGAAACCAGATCCCAGAGGCACATGATTCGTGCTCCAATCTGCAAATCAATCATCAAATTAAGTAATTCCAAGAAAAAACTCGAGACACTTAGAATGTGGAAATTAATTCAAAGCAAGGAGGAGCATACTCAGTGTCCATGAGACACCAACATCCATTCCATCATGCAAAGTGGGTTGTACTATAATTTCTATGTTCTTATCCATAGACCGTATTAGGTAAGAAAAGAACTCCATTACTTGCTGCAAGCAAATAGATACATTAGGGTGATCATATATAATTAGGTAGAAACCAAACATAATGCGGGAATGAATTTCTGAAAGATAATTAATCTATTATGATGATTTATAGGGAACTTCGATGAATTCAGTTTTTCTTTTCTTTCTATTAACAATTAATGTCGTAGCAGAAGAACCTCTTTGTAATAAAGTTAGATATATTCTATATAAATGTACCTTCTTCCCAAGGAAAGGACGAAAAAGAGAGACGAAGTTACAGATACATCTGCATTCATCTGCGATTACTTCGGATAAATCGCGAATATTTCTCTGCTTAATGGCGTTGTAAAGCTTGAGTACTGTTTCTAGTGCAATTCTGTCTCCTCCTTCCCCGGATGCCGAGATTTTGGTACCACCACACGGCATTAACGAAAAGCTTGCATTCTGATTGGAAGATAAGTTCCGCTGCACCAAATTCTGGTTTGGCACAGGAGAGTGAAAATTAAAAGAAGTACGAACTGCTTGGACCAGTGGTCTGTTTGTGGGTTTTAGGTATAGAGAAGGGTTACAGTAGTACTGTGCTGCATCTCTTTCTCCACGGATGATTGGGGTGGTGAAGTGCGTTGTGGTGTGGAGTTTTGAGGAGATTTCAGAGCGGGATATAGTGGATGAGGAGGCCAAGGCCATGATGAAGTTGAGTGAATGAAAATGATCGAGTTTGGATGTCAAATCCTGTATATGAAAATGAAGACTTTGTAAAAAGAAAGCACAGAGTACATGTGAAGACATAAGGAAGAGATTTCCTAGACAAATATATGCACCATTGACAAGATAAGGATCTATAAAGTTGAATGTACAGCCAGACAGGGAAGGAGAGATTGTAAAAGATGATGAATGGAATGGGGCAGGCTTTAAGGAATTGCGTAATCTTTACCATTTACTAACAGTTGTATGTTATTATTATTATTAATGCATGCAGAAAAGAAGAAGACAACATTGAATATGCTAGGCTTGTTAATAGCTAAAGCCTAGAGGGAATACCGTCTTATATATCTTTACTTTTAGCTCTTGATTGGCTCATGTCTGGGAAATAGCTTTTTTTTTTTGAAAAGAGAAACCTTAACCTAATATGATTTTAATTTAAATAAAGCAAGTATACTTGTCTTTCCGGCCAATTGCGGTGTGTTCTAGCTAATTAATAATAATCAGCATCTTTTGTTCACCTTGAACTTGATAATTTCTGAAAGCCATTTTTCAAAAGCCTTATCTAGAATTGTTATTATCTTATCTTGCAAGACTCCTATATTATTTAACCATATTTTGAGGCTGGTAATAGTCGAACTGATTGATTAAAAAGATTTTCTAATTGGCATCGTGTAATCAGTTATCAGTAGAATCCGGTTCCAAATTCCGGGAGCTGACCTGACCGTACTCACCTAGGCCGGTTCCATGTTTTGGTTTACCCTAGTCAAATTGGCCTTTATTGGCTTTGGCGTGGAACCGATCTTGGTGGAATGTGTGTGAAGTTGTATTCTATTCGATCAAGATTACATTTAACTAAATTGTTGAATGTATAAAGATTTGCATTAAGATTGTATTTAAATAAATTGTGGAATGTGTGAAGTTGGATTATAGACTAGTAATGATTGTGGTATTATTTGGATTGTTCATGGATTATTATTATTTTTTTTTGAGATTAAATGACTATGTGGATTTGAAATGTAAAATGTTTATGATAGATTGTTACCCAAGGTAAAGCTTTAAAAAATAAAATATATAAAAACGTCATATTATTATTATTAAGAATAGTTTCATAGGTAGACTTTAGAATTGACTTTGGAAAACCTTTGGTTTCAAAAGCCCGGAAACGGCTCCTACAAAATCAACCCATGCTCACTCCTACTATTATGGCTGCATTTGGAAACCATGCAAATAAGAGTAAATGCAAATATGTAGAGTATAAAACGGTATATATAAATTGTAAAGTTGTGTTAGTTTTGCACCGATAAATTTATCTTCTCACCAAAGAGACTTTTATCTGTAATGGGTGTAAACACGAATTCCAATAAAGCTTATGCTTTTTTTTATCAAAAGCCCATTTGAATACAAATTTTCTTATTTTTTATTGATGTTCTTATACATCTTATTATCAATGCAAATATGCATTAAAAAAATATTTTCTATCATTTGTCAATGCATAAATATAACGTTGCCAAACACATGCAAAAGTGAAGTAGAGTGCAAATTTACCCCTAAACCGGGATTTACACTTTATTTACATTATTTCCAAATGCAACTTATCGTTTTGTCTTTTAGTTAATAGGTTGTTAAAGAGGTTCTGTGCTCCTCAGTAGTTGAAGTTGAAGTGTGATAGATTACTATATCTTTCAATATTTTATTATTTAAAGACAAAAAAATAAGTCATTCAATTCAGCAATTTAAGCTATAATCAAACAATCCCTAAGCTAATAAATTGACGAGAGCAAAAATTTAATGCATATGCACTGAAAAAGGGCCATTTTTATACCAAAACAGAGCTTGGATAGTCTACATACAGAGCATGCCCGACAGGTGCCCCGTGCCCCACACCCCACACCCCATCCCCTTGTGCATCGTGAACTTCCCCTGTGGAAGTGTGGGGATGGGCTGTAGGGCACGCTTTGTGGAGAGCCCATCCCATCTCACCAAGAAAAGGATCATTTTTAATCTTTCCATTCATATCATGTCACATCATCTAAAAGCTTAATTTAGATGGTTAAGGGCTGAAACTCTTTTTCTTGATATAACTTATAACTTTACCTTTTTTTTTCCTTTTTCTTTGTAATTAATCAAAAAATTAAATAAACAAGATTGCAATATCAATGTTTAAAGAAAAAATGAATTATCTTCCTTCTTGGGATTTTTCACCCAAAGCCCTGTTTCTTTCTCCCTCCAACCATCTTCTCTAAATTCTCAGTTGGGTATTGATTGATCCTCCAATTTTGGCAGCAATGTTGAGCAAATTTCAATTAAAATGCTATAACGGATGGCGAGCAAATTCAAAGTCCTTACTTAAGAGGGGGTTTTGGTTTAGAATCCATAATGACCATAAATACTCGAAAACAGATTTTTTTCTATGAGATCCTTGAATATACTTAAATCGATTGGGACTGCCTACAATTAAGATCATTAAAAGAGGTAGGTGAAAGAAGAGTTAAAGAGGGTTGAAAAACACTACCCCATCCTGCTGAAGAAGTATTGCCCTCTCTCGAGTCAAAACTAGGCCAAAGCCTGGTTGCTAGGCAAGGCGAGTTTCTGCTGTAGAAGAACCAGGTCGGATCAACCGACCCCAACAGCTTCTTATCATTTTCTTTCTTTCCACTTTCATTTGGAATGACCATTTTGTCCATGTGCAAGAATCAATACTGAATGGAATTTTGATATGGAGATCCTATCCTTCTGTTTATATGATCAGTGCTGAATGAAAACTCATATTTCTCATTGCAGTCATAGTTAGCATTCGTTCTAGCTACATGTTCTCGTTTCCTTTAAACTTCGGTTGTGAGATAGAGAGGGATGCAGGTTTGAGATTCATGCATAGCATATCTAAAACTAGGGGTGCCAATTGGACTGGATTTGGTCCAATCCGATCCAGTCCGATGTGAGTTCATTATAAATGGATCAGGTCCAATCCAATTCAATGAATGTTTTGGATCAATTTGGACCGGTCCAATTCAATGTCTGGACCATCTAATCTGTTCAAATTCATTTTGATTTAGATTGGTTTTTCAACTCAAACCCAGTTCATTGACACATATGTTCTTATCTTATATCAATGGACTAGATATTGGCTTAATCCAACCCAATCCAATATAAATTTATTACGGACGGACCAGGTCCAATCCAATCTAATAAATATTTTAGACCGGATTAATCCAATCTAATGTGCCTTGTTGGTCCATCCAATCCATCCAAATTGATTTTGGACTGGACGGGGTCCAATCCAAAACTGGTCCATTGACACTCTTATCTAAAATCTTAGGGCAAAATACAAAAACCTCCCTTGAAGTTTCTAGCAATCATAAAAACCTTTTCTATAGTTTCATTTTAACAAAAACCTCTCCTCTATTTTTTATAAAATTAACAAATACCTCCCTTCCATTAAAGATTATCATTTTTTTCAAAATACTTATTTTACCATTTCTTGAATACTGTTCATATTCTTCCCCGTTCGAACTGAGAAGCAGAGGCAGCGGCGGTACACCTCTAAATCCGATCTCTTCCTTTCTCTAATCACTCATCTTCTTCGGCTTATTGTTCTTCCCCTTTTTCCCTTTCTCTGTCACATTTCCGCTGCTGCAACCAGTTGCAGTGTTGGCCATGTTTCTGTTGGCCACTTGTTCGAATGCAGTATATGCATGGAAATGGTGAAGGACCCAGTCGTCACCTGCTATTGCCACTTGTTCTGTTGGTCATGTCTTTATCTGTGGCTGCACACGTTTACTCCAACGAAAACGAATGCCCAGTGGACACGGGACAGTTCCGGCAGCGAGGACCAAACGACGGAAAAAGCATCGGAATCGGGAGTGAGGATCCCTCGTAGGCCCCCCATGGACATCGTTTCGAATCGGCGAGGCAGAGGTCTGATAGGGAGATATCAACGTTTGAGATCCAGCAAGTGTTCAGAGGATTGGCCATGGTTCTCATCATATGATGGAGTGGCATCGACATCATTTTTCTGTAGCAGGCTCCATTTCGATTACTACTTCTCCACCTGTTTTATCACCCCTCTGAGTTCTCACCACTGCGGCACTACGCAGAGAGGGATTACTGGGAGGAGAATATGAATACCCACGACAGAATTATGTCGATCAAGTGTCCATGGAGTTACAGCAGAGTGCTGCTGCTGCTGCTACTTCAGTAGAAGCAGAGAGCAGGGGGCATCGACTACAAATGCAGCAGCTTCTGAGAGCTCAGGCACAAAGAGCAGCTTCACGTACATACTTCTCATCTGTAATAAATTCATCACCTGAAAGCATAGTTCAGGGATATCTAATTAGTCGTTCCATGAGAGAAAACTATATGAAAATTTTCGGAAGCCCAAGGTTGTCTTTCCATTGTTATTTTATCATATATATATATACAAACTCCATGGAGTTTCTTGCTCTCAAAACTTTCTAAAAACCCGACGTCCTAAATGCAATGCAACTTCTATCTCCAAAAGACTTCCTAATCCAAAAAGAATATCTTCCTACAAACACGGCTGCTAAAAACAAAGCTTCCTAATTGTACAGGAAATATACAGATCCGGGATCTCCTAGGACTCTCGCGAATCTCGTCCAATACTCCCCCTCAAGGTGGTGCATGAGGATTGCGAATGCCCAACTTGGGAAGGAAAAAATCATTGTTTTTGCTTGAGAGCCTTTGTGAAAATGTCGACAAGTTGTTCACCGGTACGTACATAGGAAGGCGCAATGGTGCCGGCTTGGAGCTCATTGCGAATGAAATGACAATCAACTTCAATATATTTGGTTCGTTCATGGAAGATAGGGTTCACAGCAATGTGCAGAGCAGCTTGATTGTCACAAAACAATCGTATAGGTTGAGGATGAGATATACCCAAAGACGACAGCAGGCCTTTTAGCCACTTCAACTCACAACTGGCAGTAGCCATTGACCGGTATTCAGGAGATGGAGGAATGTCCTAACATGACAAAATACCTAGTAAGAGAGCGACGAGTTAGAGGACAACTCGCCTAGTGGGAATCACAATAGGCATACAATTGCAGATCACTATCAGAGCGCAGAAATATCCCTTGACCAGGACGTCCTTTCAGATAACGAACCACACATAATGCTGCATCCCAATGATCAACACGAGGACACTGCATAAATTGATCTAGGACATGGATGCAATAACTGAGCTCCAGTCGTGTAATGGTTAAATAGATCAAACGACCCACAAGACGTCGATATCGTTCAGGGTCATCCAGGAGTGCTCCGTCAGCAAGGGCAAGTTTATGATTCTGAGCAATAGGAAAGTGAGCAAGTTTGGACCCCAATCAGCCAGTTTCTGTAATAATATCAAGCGCATATTTTCTTTGGTAAAGAAATATCCCCAATGATCCACGAGTCACTTCGATGCCCAAAAAATATTTAAGAACACCCAAGTCCTTCATGTGAAAACACCGGTTCATATACTGTTTAAATTTGTGTATGAACTCCGGGTTATTCCCACCAACGATTAAGTCATCAACATAAACCAGGACGTGCAAGACAATCCCATTCTTGCGATACGTAAATAAGGAATAATCGAAATAGGACTGATCAAACCCAAAAGTTTTCAAGGCAGCACCTAATTTAGAGAACCAATTCCGGGGGGCTTGCCGTAGACCATACAAAGATTTCCGGAGTTTGCATACCTTTCTAGTCCCGGAGGCCAAAAAATCTGGAGGAGGTTTCATATAGACCTCCTCATGGAGATCACCGTGCAGAAAAGCATTGTGGACATCCATCTGATGCAATTCCCAATGTTGGGCCGCAGCAACTGGTAAGAAGGTTCGAACTGTGACCATTTTAGCCACAGGGGCAAAGGTCTCGTTGTAATCAAGACCTTCAACTTGAGTGTTGCCCAAGACTACCAACCGTGCTTTAAATTTTTCAATGGATCCATCAGAGTTGTACTTGATTTTGTAGATCCATTTACACCCGATTGCCTTTTTTTCAGGTGGGAGGTCTTCCAAGGTCCATGTCCCATTGTCTTCCAAAGCCTGTATCTCTTGGTGCATAGCCTCGCACTACCGAGCATCAGCCATTGCCTCAGAGAAACGAGTAGGTTCTCGGCCTATTGTAACAGCTGCCAAGAAATGTCTGTGTTTCACAGAAAAATTATCATACGTCACATAATGAGTTATGGGATAAGGAGTACTTGAGGACTGAGATGATGCAGGAGAAACAGCGGAGGGGTCTAAACGATGAGCAGAGTGTCTGACAAAGTCTTGTAAATAGTTGGGGGTCCACTTTTCTCGATGTCTGCGGCCTAATAACTCCGTGGTAGGCTGAGGAGCAGCTGGAGTTTCATTATTCCTGCAATCTGTATGGCTCCTTGTCTCATCAAGAGTACCTGCCTACTTATCATTACCCGTGTTCTAATGTCCTTCTTCATCGATCGTGTTTCTCCCCCTGACTTCTATATGAGGTGAATCAAATACCATGTCAGGAGGAGTGGTCGCAGAGTTCGGTAGTTGGACAGTCCAAGGCAACCCAACATTTTCCTTGGCTATGGAAGGACTGGTTACTGAGGGTTGATGTTCTAGAGTGGCAAAGGGAAACTCGGCCTCACTAAACACCATGTCTCGTGAGACGAAGTAACCACCAGACTCAAGATCGTATAATTTCCACCCCTTTTCCCAAAAGGGTACCCAACAAAGACACATTTCCTACTACTAGCGGAAAATTTGTCACGGTCCCGAGTATGCGAAAAACACAAGCAACCAAAAACTCTAAGATGTTTATAAGAAGGACTTTGTCCAAATAGCATCTCGTAAGGTGTTTTACCACCAAGAAGGGTTGAAGGTGTCCGGTTAATCAAGTACCCTGCGGTCAAAACACACTCACCCCAGAAATTGATCGGAAGATGAGCTTGAAACCTGAGTGCTCTAGCCACATTCAAAATACGACGATGCTTTCTCTCCACATGACCATTTTGTTGTGGTGTTCCAACACAAGAAGTTTGAAATAAAATTCCTTGCTCATCAAAATATGATTTCAAGGATTTAAACATTGTTCCATTATCACTTCTCACCACCTTAACCTTCTTATTAAATTGTCGTTCAATCATTGCACATAAATTTTTAAGTGTTCGACCAACTTCACTTTTTTCAGCCAGCAAATAAATTCAAACTACTTGAGAATAATCATCAACAATTGTCAAAAAATATACAGCACCACAAGATGCAGGTACTCTATAAGCACCCCATAAGTCACAATGAATCAATGCAAAACAATCAGTCACTTTATTGCCACTTTGAATAAAACATCTCTAGTTTGCTTTGCCTTCAAACAAACATCACATGTTTTGTTCTTACTATTATTGATATTAAGAAGCAAGCTAACCGTTTGATAAGAAGGGTGTCCAATCTCCGATGCCACAAATCGCATGACCCAAGATGCGGTCCTGTATCACACACAACTTATTAGTAAACGTCACAATACAATCTGTGTCACGAAGTAACTAACCTACTGACAATAAATTACAATTGAGTTTTGGGACATATAATACATGCAGCAATTTAAAATTATTTCCAAGTTCAACAGTGTCGTCTTTCACGGCCTCGGTGTGCGCACCGTTGGGTAACCTAACAGGACAAGGTGCAACATCATAGGTGTCGACGAGCACATTTAAATTCCCTATCATGTGATGTGATGCCCCAGAGTCAATAATCCATTCAGTGGAGTAATTCTTACCAGAGAGTTTTTCATTAGTCCTAGTTTTGTAAGCATTAAGCATGCTTACAAGAGTCTGGCATTGCTCGTCATTAAGCCCGCTCAGTCCAGTCCGGTCTCCGTCAGTCATAACTGCTTTAGTAGCCACCTCACGCCCCGCTGATGACTGAGCAGCATGAGCTTTTGTCGTGCCTCAGCCACGTCCGCCAGAGGGTCCTCCCCCTTTTCCTCATCCTGTTCCACGCCCGGTTGACGTACCGCGGGGTCTGTCTCCCCACCATTCAGGGTATCCAATTAATTGGAAGCAATTCTTTGCTTCATGGCCAGATCGACCACAATTGTTTTGTCTTTTGAAGTAGCTCTACTGTCTCGCGATGTCTGCGAGGCTTGTGCTGCAAAACCAACCGCATCTGCCCGTTCCTCCTTACCTCATGCCAACGATCGATGTCGATCTTCTTGTATGATTGTTGAGTAAACTTTGTTCATATTTGGAATTGGCTCCATACTCAATATGTTGGAACACACAGTTCCAAATATATCGTCGTCCAAACCCATAAGAAATTGGTGGATTTTTTCTTCTTCTCTTTCTTTAACCAATTCAGTTGCCGCTCCACACCTGCATCCGCATGTACACACGGGTACCTTAGAGTAGTTTCCTAATTCGTCCCACATTGCCTTCAACTTTCCGTAATATGCAACCATTGTCTGTCCATGTTACAGTTAGCAAGCTCGGATTTAATCTGATAAATCCGGGGTCCGTTGCCGATCGAGAATCGTTCCTTCAAATCATCCCAAAGCTCCTTGACCGTCTCCATATACGTGATAGTTGAACGCAATGATGGATCGACAGTATTGAAAACCCAAGCCACCAACATCGAGTTCACAATCCACCTGAGATCGATCTCTGGAGTGTCGTTCTCCGGCTTTGTGACCCTGCCTTCGATGAAACCGATTTTGTTTTTGACACGAAAAGCAGTTTTCATTGCCTTTGCCCATTTGTTGTAGTTATCTCCTCTCAAGACCACCGGACTGATAATAATTCCAGGATTATCTGATGGATGCAAATAGAAATGAGAAGACGGTTCGACAGACTTACTCAAGCTCTCACCGTTCCTATCGTTGTTGGCAACCATGGTGACCGATCAACAATACTTGTTTGAGATGTTCAAGCAAATGGTCGAAGATGGCTTTGGTGTCGATGTGATTCTGTTGCTCAACGTCAGCAGTAATATCTTACCCAAGGTGATTGATTATTGCAGGAAACACGTCGAGTTTGATTCCAAGAAGATGGACGATCCTAATGAGGCTCACGAAGAAATCAGGAACTGGGACTCATAATACATCAACGCCAGTGTCGATGAGCTTTACCGTCTTATAATATCTGCCAACTACCTTCATATCAAAGGGTTGCTAGATTTGACTTGCCAGAAGGCGACTCTGATACCATGAAAAATTTCGGAAGCCCAAGGTTGTCTTTCCATTGTTATCTTATGATATATATATACAAACTCGATGGAGTTTCTTGCTCCCAAAACTTTCTAAAAACCCTACCTCCTAAATGCAATGCAACTTCTATCTCCAAAAGATTTTCTAATCCAAAAAGAATATCTTCCTAAAAACAAGGCTACTAAAAACAAAACTTCCTAACTGTACAGGAAATATACAGATCTGGGATCTCCTATGACTCTCGCGAATCTCGTCCAATACTATAGTCAGCCTCCAGACCTTGCTCTATCACAGCCTCAACTTGCTCATGACCATGCTGAGCCTCCCCCATACTTTACTCACCCATCATCAGCTGCTGATGACACACAGTCGGGAAGCGAGACAATCAATGTTGGTACATAAATAATAGATTCAGTCCGATCACTTTCTGACTCTAGTGGAGCAGATAGGCCATTGGCTTCAGATGAGGACCGTGGAATGAATCGCGTAACTAGAAGAAGGTCGTACTGACATATCTATACGTTGGTATAGAAATATTTAGAGGGATACCGCCGCTGTTGGTACAGAAACATTTAGAGGGGAAGAAGATGAACAGTGTTTGAGAAAGGGTAAAATAAGTATTTAAAAAAAAAAATATCATCTTTTTAACGTTTTTGTCAATGTCATTGTTAATTTTGTCAAAAAATAGAAAGAGAAGATTTTTGTTGAAATGAAACTAGGAAAGGTTTTTATGATTTTCAGAAAGAAACTTTTTTGTATTTTATCCACAATTTTAAGCCTTGATTGGCAGTCATTTGTATTTTATATCTTTAATATACTAAAGTATAAAGCATATGGGGTTAACCATAGGATGGAGGTCATGTTCACTATTAGAATATAGCTAAGTGCGGTCGCGTGTCTAATAACTAGAATCTTAAATTCACATATCTCCCGAAACTCATGCACAAAATTATCTAGGTATATATGTGCGCAAAAATACCAAAATCTGTAATGTCTCTTACAATATCACATTATACACGGAAATACCATTTTACGTAAAAATGTGAAAGTGCGTAGAATGGGGTTAACCACTGCGGTGGTCATGTCCTTTTGCCAGGATATAGGTGTGATCGCGTGTTTGAAAACTAGAATCACAAATCCACATATCTCTCGAAACTCAATGCGCAAATATACCCAAGTCTGGTATGTAGCTAAAGTCCTGCGATGTCGTTTACAATATTACATTATATGCAGAGCTACCATATCATAGTTTTCAAATCATAGAAATCTTAACGCAGGTTCAAATTCACAACGGTAGAGGCTATGCGCTACCCTAATCATCCCGCTACCTGATCCGACAATTGCAAAGGCCCAATTACAATAACATGCATGTCTCTCGAAACAATCTGCAAAAATACCAAATTAAGTTTGTGACGTGCGCAGTCTACGATGCTGCTTAAGAATATAGGTGTGATCACATCTAAAAACCATAATCGCGAATTCACATATCTCCTGAAACATAGTGGGTAGAAATACCAAAGCCTGCGATGTCACATTATGCACAAAAATACCACATCATAGGTGGCAAATCATAAACACAATGGTAAGAAATAGATAACACCGTGGCAGGGGAGAGAAGACACAATGGCACAAAAATACCACTTATGATGTCACATTATGCACAAGGTTACTGTGTGATTCTATTTTCTACACGCAGAAGGCATGACCATACACCTTTTGGATCCTCCCTTTTGTTATAAGAATATATTAGCATAGCAAATGAAGCCTTAAAAATTAAGATATATGAAAAAATTATAAAATAGAGAAAATGACGTCAAAAGTTTTAATAAAAAATAATAATTTTAGTAAATTTATCCAAAATTCAATTTACCTAAATTTCCATTTAATAAATAACTAGCGGAGGGGGCCCTACGTTGCAGGGGGCTCGCTCATAAACCATCAGGCTCGAGTTCAATTTGAATTAGAGACTTGAGCTCGAGCTCGAGTTCAGCTTGAGTCAAAAGCCCGGAGGTTTGAGCTTGGCTACCTTTGATTGCAGGTCTCTCAAGCAGTTGAGGTGCCGAGCCGATGTTTCCCTTAATTGCCGAGGTGCCAAATTGAGGTCTCCTTAAGCTGCTGAAGTGTCGAGTTGAGGTTTCCCTAGCAGGCGAGGTGTCGAGCTAACTCCCTTAGTTGGCACGGTGTCGAGCTGAGGTCTCCCTCATTTGTCGAGATGTTGAGCCAAGATCTCCCTCAGTGACCGAGGTACCTAACTGAGGTCTCCCTCAGTGGTCAAAAGTGTCGTCTAGCTCGAGCTCGATTCGAATTAGAGACTTGAGCTTGAGCTCAGAAGTTCGAGCTCGGCTTGGCTCGAACTCAACTACCTTTGGTTGTAGGTCCCCTAGCAGCCGAGATGTTGAGTTGATGTCTCCCTTAGTTGGAGAGAGAGTGGCATTCTTGTAATTTATAAGGAGAGAGAGAGAGATGACATTCTTGTAATTTTTATGAAAAAAAAAACAAAAAATACTGTTAGACTATATATATATATTAAAGAAAGGTCTTTATGCTACAACCCCACCATTCAGACAAGTAACACCCTAGTAATTCAAGAAACAAGAAATATGATTCAAAAAGTAGGTAGTTTCACTCCTAAACATTCTCAATAGATAGTTATTTATTAGCTTAACACATGTTTATCCATTGTCTATTAAATACAAATGGTGGGACCCATTAAAAGATTACCATAAACCCATGTTTGTTTTTAAAATGATTTTTTTTTCAAAAAGAAAATACTTTATTAATTACAAACTTGATTTAACTTTTAGTAAGCAACTTAATTTAACTTTTAAAAATAAATAACTCAAAATAGATTTATTAGATAAGTAGTAAATACCAAATAAAGTGGGTTATTGTTTGCCAATAAGATCTCATTTAATATCCTAAATCAAATTAAAAAAAAACATAAATTAATAGTGGGTTTTAAATAAAATAGGTCAGAATAAATTATCAATTGCAAAAATGCATGACCCATGTTATTTTTTTTTTTACTTTAATTTTTGATAACTACACACATTTAATTACCCCGTACTTAGTACTAGATCATTCACTAGTTAAAAATTAAAAGCGACCAGACAAATATGTTAAAAATATTAAGTAAAATGAAAAATTAAATCAAAATCAAAATATTTGATAGTGAAAGAAGGGAGAGAGAGAGGAAATTGAGGATGGGAAGTATATACTTATAATAATAAAAAAGAGATAAAAGCAATAAGAAGTGGTTTCTAGAAAAAGAGCTCATTTAATTATTTTGTCCTATAAATGAACATTTTGGGGTCACATATAGGAGAGAGGTTCAGGTAGTAGATGTTGGAAGAAGTAAATAGTGATGGGATAAATTAAAAGATATTAATATCTATTAGATAAAGGAAAGAGACATGGGTATTTAGTTATCCGGCAAAGCAAATAAACAACAGATAAATAAAAAGTCATTGGATATTAAACATTAGATAAAACAACAAAAAAGAATGGTACAATTGTAAATAACAAAGGCTCTAGTGGGTAAATATCTTCAATGTTATTATTAGATTCCAAATTGTGCATATAGAGGGCAAGACCGTACACCTTTTGGATCCTATCTTTTGTTATAAGAATATACCAGCTAAGTAAACGTGCTCAGCATGGGTGTGAGGTATAAAATGAACCGTCAAGTAAAAGTTGAGTATAAGCATTGAAGCTAATAAAGCTATTACATGTTAATTACCTATTACTAACCAATTTCATAACTTAGAATTGTCTATTTGAATAAAGGACAATCTAAGCAAATGTGAAAAATACAAAGAAGACTTTACTTTTGACATGTGGCCTACAGGGGTTGCTCACAAATTCACTTAGGACATGAATATTTATACATCCACACCAATCTCTTAATGCAATGAGTGCATAGCAAAATTACAACCAAAGAGATTTTAAAAATAGGAATCATGAAGGGGAAGAAAGAGTCTTAGCTTTCAGGCATTTGTTCTTAGATGATGGTGCAGGAGTTTCCTTGGGTTACAACTTCCTTGTTCTTAACATGTGGAATCAAATAAATATGTTAACAAAATTAGAACACTCACAATTTCCAAAATTACAACCAAAAGATTAGTCAACATCATTTCTTTCTTCACTTCCAAAGAAAATCCATAGGACATAAAAATATTGATAATATATAACCAAAAAAAAAGGACAATTGTTAAGGCAAAAGAAATTTGAAAGAAAATAACCACTTTTATCTTCCTAATGTAATTTGCATTTGCTCTACTAATATGATAATACCATCACCCTTTAATCCTTTTATATATTACATGCATACCTCCCCTCCCCTCCCTGGTCTAGCCCAATCCATATTTAATTAATTAGAATTAGAAATAAACCACATCACGAATTAGAGGTTACGAAATATTGGTAAGTAGGGACTTCCTTCTTCGAGATTTACTTCGAAGTGAACAAGGCAAGGACTGGTTCTTCGAACGGGGCAACTTCCCTCGGCTTATCAATCACCATCATGCAGATGCCTTCTGTACTTAGCACGAATTATGGCATAACTCATCAATTCCCTCGATCTCTAGGTTCACTTTCTCTCCTCTGATGATAAACTCCGACATTGGCTTGGGCAGACCATTCTCCAAATTAGTAGGCCAACTTAGCCCCCCTAATTGAACAACAACGTTCTCCGGCCTTACAAATCTAATCACACGATGAAGCTAGAAGTGAAGCTCAGACCGGAAAACCAAGACAAACTCTAACATCCATTTGCAATAGCCACTTCTAATACTTAATCATATAACAAAGTTTACAGGCTTCGTAACCATTTGGAGACAGAACCAGTAGGTATAACGAGTTCAAAGACATACTTGTAAAGAGTCTCTACAACATTTCCTTCTCTAGAGAACATGAATTTGCTCTTGGTCCATTGGGTAAGGAATGGACTAAACATCTAATACAACATTATGAAGTACAATGGAATGTTAATGAATAGTTGATACATTAACACCCATTTTAGAATAATTATGTTGAAATAGAGAGAGGAGGGAGATACGCATGACAAGAGTGTTGGGGAGACGGAAAGGGAGAAGAGAATAAAGGGGAACAGAGTCAAATGGAGGGGTAGTTCGGGGCATAAGTATCGTTGTTGGAGATGAAGTAAAAGGAAAAGAGGGAAACGACTGCCACAAAGCGGTTAATCCCAAAGCACAGATCACGGATAAAGATCTTCCACCACTAAATTGAAAGCATGGAGCATGGCAACATAGAGTGGTGCAATTTCTGCCAACACATGTTTGTTGAGTTTTTGGTTGGTTTTGCAATTTCTAGTATTTGGCTGGTTTTGCACCGATGTGAAAAGTGAATTTATGTTGATCGTGGAGTGGTGGTATATGGAGTCAATGCAGTGTGGTGAATGACGTCATACATTCATGCGTGGTTGATACGGTAAATGAAGAAGATAAGAAATAAATATGTGAATAACAACCTCTAGTCAAATGATATGGTATACATTTGTTATTAATTATATTCAAATGCCGTGTGGCAACATATATGGATGCAAGCTCTTGAATGTGGGGTCAATGAAATATATATGTCATGGCATCCTGAAGGCAATTCAATGATACCGCATGCCACATTGTAACATAAATGAATAGGATGTGGTATACATTTGTCATTGAACATGTCATTGATTGCATTAATGAGCCTATGCTTTCATGTCGCATTTATATATGCTATCACGTGGAGAAGTGTATAAGCATCACACATGTGGTTGTACACATGTTTTAAAAAGTATGGAGAATATTAGAGGGCTAAAAAACATGAAATATCAAAAGTTGATTTCTTGCTTTTCATATTTTTTGTATATTTACTTCATTTTTTTAAAAGTAAAAATGTTAGACAATGTAGGCCCTTAACTCCAATTAGAATGATATACATAAATATTTATTTATAAATGAATAAAGTACACTATTGTTTCATGTTAATATTGGTATGTTTCTATGCATTACCCCTTAAACTAGATACTTACGAGACTTGTGTTAGTTTAAGATAGACTTAGGAAATTTATCCTAACAAGGGTGGCACTGGTGTGTTGCCAAAGAGTTTGAACAGCTTGCCTCAACTGCTAGGGTTAGACCCCAAGCACAACCATTAGGTGTTTATTAGAAGCACTGAACCCGGACCAATTTCTAGTTGTGCCTTAGACCTTGGAGATAGATGGGCAAACTGGAAAGTTATACATAACCCTAAACTTGATTATGGCGTTGCACTAGGTGTTGGATTAGGTTTTCTTTGATATGTCAACTAGTGAGATCCATTAAGACTCAAATACTTGAGTATGTTGAGACAGTCTAAGAATTCACCTGAGTTGGTGGTCATAGTGATAGGATCAACCTCTTTGTTGGACAAAGTGAATGTCAAGGTTTATACTCTCTCTGATGGAAACTTAAACTACGAGTAGTTGATTTCACCTATGTTTGAATTTTGGTTTTTCAAAATATATTTATATGTTATATACTAATATTTTATGAAAAATGTTTGCAAAAGGTTTTAATCCCGGGATCCATCTTAGCAGAGAGTGTGGCACTGCACCTTATAGGTAGGGGAGAGGTCATTTCCTATCAAATAGTGTTTTGATCATTATGAGTCGAGAGATTAAGTGTAAAAAACCATTACATGGTTGATTACCTGATAGGATTTGTCTTACATGAGTCCATTATCCTTGGGTCTTCATAGAGTAGATGAACCCAATGATCATTTAGGTGTAAATGTTGGGCCCAAATTGGACCAATGTTGATTGGGTTAGGGATTCATTACCTTGAGTAGTGAATTCAGCCTAGCCTCTTTTGGAGGTTGGGCCGAACCCATGTGGGCTTATGTGAGATCATTGTGAAGTCTCACACCATACAATATCAGGCCTAAAGTGGCCATGCAACATTTTGGATCGTTGGTCTTTGAAATAGATGGGTCTAAGGCTCATATTTAATAAGATTAAGTAAGTTGTCACATGACCACTTAAGTTTTCCTATGCTCTGGGTTGAATCTAGGTTTCGAAATGGGCATGAAACACCTATCCTCTTAAGAGAACAAGGCTTATCTCTTAATCGAGTCCAAATCCGAATCAAATATGGATAATCTCCTAATTTGATTAGGAGAGTAACCCATAAGGAGATAAAAGAAAAAGAGGGCGAACCAGACTAGAACACCTCTCGCTCTCTCTTGTTCTCTCATCTTCTCTTTGTCTCCCAAGAAACCCTATCACGACCTAGGCTTTCTAGAACTTATTTTTTATCAGTTTCTCTTCTAATTTTTACAAGAAAAATATTGAAGAAAATTAGGCTCACTTACCTCATTCGATTCGAGCAAGTTAGATCACAGTTTTGCTGAAAACAGTGTTGATGAACCGGATTCACCTACACACTACACCATCTTCAGTGGAGGCTGATTTTAGGATTGATTTGGGTGTGAACTTCCACCTTGGGATATGTGCTTTTGTCTGGGTGTATCCCGCTTTGATCTACCTGGTACCTGAGGAACTTTCCCGACTATACTCCGAATGCGCACTTCAGTAGATTCAATCTCAACTTAAACTCCCTACACCGCGTGAATATTTTCCTTAGAACTTCCGAGTGGTCTCCTCTTCCTCTTGCTTTGATGACTATGTCAACAACATAGCACTTGATCTCCTTATAGATCATGTCCTGGAAGACACTAGCCATTGCTCTCTGGTATGTGGCTCGACGTTCTTCAAGCCGAATGGCATCATTTTGTAATAGAAGTTCCCTGTGGGTGCCCTGAAGAAGGTGTGGGGAGCATTTGCGGGATCCATGAATATTTGGTTGTATCCACTATAGGCATCTAGGAAGGAGAAAAGTTCATGGACCGCGGTTGAGTCTATCAGTACCTCCATATTAGGAAGAGGGAATTCGACCTTCAGGCAACCTTTCCTTAAGTTCCTAAAATCGACACAACATTTGTGATAAGGTGGAGTTAGTGTTTAGGTGTTGTACTATTGTTAAGGAACTAGGAGGGAAGGTACTAAGCCTCAAGCACTTGTTAGAGCAACCCGTGCATAGCCCAACTCAGCAGAAGTGGTTGTATAAGCTACTAGGGTTTGACTCCCAGGTAGAGTATAAGCCACATGTAGCAAACAAGGCAGTAGATGCTCTATCCCGCAGTCAAGAGGTTTTCATATTGGGTGAAAACCATAACAACTTTTCTATCTGGGCCAGGCTCAAGGAAGAAGCCCACCTAGACGAAACCATACAGAAGGTCGTCCAGAAGCTTACAACAGATCCGACTTCAGCCCCAAGGTTCTACTTAGTGGGGCCAGATCTTTTCTTTAAAGGGTGCCTAGTGATTGTGGCCCAATCAAAGTTTCTTCCGGAGTTACTTCAATTATTTCATGGCTCTGCCTTGGGTGGCAATTCGGGAATACTCCGTACCTACCGTCGGGTAAGCCAGCATTTGTTTTGGTTAGGGATGAAGAAAGCCGTCCAGAAGTTTGTAGCTCAATGCACTACTTGCCAACATTACAAATCTGACCATCAAACTCCCACGGGATTGTTGCAGCCTCTCCCGATTCCGGCTCAAGTATGGGAGGATATTACCATGGATTTCATCACAGGACTCCCAACTTCCATGGGTAAATCAATAATTATGGTAGTGGTGGATAGGCTAACAAAATACAGTCATCTTATTGGGATGGTGCACCCATACACAGCGGCCCAAGTGGCACACACCTTTGTCAAAGAGGTGACCAGACTGCATGGCACCCCACGATCCATTGTGACAGATAGGGACCCGGCTTTCATGAGCCGCTTCTGGACTACATATTTTAAAGTCCAGGGGACTCAGTTGAACCACACCACCAGCTACCACCCACAAGCCGACGGACAGTCCGAAGTGGAGCAGGTGCTTGGAAACTTATTTGAGATGCTTTACGGGGGAGAGGCCCAAACAGTGGATGAATTGGCTGCCATGGGCCGAGCTGTGGTACAATACCACCTATCACTCCTCATTGGGAATGAGCCCATTTAAGGCATTGTATGAGAGGGAACCACCTCTTATACTTCCCTATGAAGTTGGGTCAACAGCAGTGGCAGAAATGGAAGAAAAAATACAGCAGAGGGATGAGGTTTTGAGGTCCCTGAAGGAACATCTGAACCGGGCCCAGCAGCAAATGAAGGCCCAGTATGACAAAAAGCACAGGCCGATAACCTACCAGGAGGGGGAGTTTGTGTCCTTGAAGCTTCAGCCCTACCGCCAAGTATCAGTCGCCCAGCGGAAGTGGGCGACAGATTGTGTCCTTGAAGCTTCAGCCCTACCGCCAAGTATCAGCCCTACCAGGAGGGGGAGTTTGTGTCCTTGCACCTCAGTTTTTTGGGCCCTTTCGTATAGTGGGCCGAGTAGGAGAGGTGGCCTACAGATTGGATCTTCCGCCATCTTCTCGCATCCACCCAGTCTTCCATGTTTCCCTACTAAAGAAGAGTATAGGACCCTACACGAATGCTAACCCCACATTGCCTGAGTTCAATGAGGAGGGGCACCTGCAGCCGAAGCCTATGGTGGTTCGAGATCTAAGGTGGGTTAAAAGGAGAAAGATAGTGCACAAGGAGGCCTTAGTGGTTTGGAAACACCTGCCCGAGGAGGATGCATCCTGGGAAGACTGACAATCTCAAGAAGAGGTTTCCAGGCTTCAACCTTGAGGACAAGGTTGTTCTGAAGGAGGGGCGAGTTGTTGGGGCCCCAGCCCATGTGAGACCGAAGGCCCATACCCCTAACCAGCACGGGGACCAGCCCACAGTGCCTATAAAGTCCCATGAGGAGCACAGCATGCTGAAAGAAGCCAAACGTCCGCCCTTCGCTACATGTACACAAGGAAGACACGTCAGCCATGAACAGTTTCATGCACATGTGATTTCCTTGTACACTCTAAATATCTGAGAATAAACGAGTAGGGCAGACCTGGCTTAATCCATTTCTTCTTCTTCTTTTCTTAGTAGGAGGTTAGGTTTCCCTCTGCGGTGGACAGTATCCCATCAGTATGGCATCTGCAATTATAGGCTTGGCCATGGAAATGACCTCTCCCTGTACAACCCAAAGATGATTCAGTTAACCAAAGTACCTCTTAATTACTCTGTGATATATGGCAAGAAGCTAGATCACTTGCTTTGAGCAAATTACAGAAGCAGATGGTATAAGTCAGCTGGGGATATTTTTTAAAGTCAGCCACTCACATGGAAGTGACTGACTTTTGAGACATTTTTGTGACCGACTTTGCATTTCACTTTCTGGAAAAAAAATGACATACAACGACATTGATATACACCTTCAACATTAATGTTAATGGAGCTCAAACATGATTTAATCAAATTTTATACACATATTTTCACTAACAAATCTAACATTTTCCACTAGCCATAATTGTTACAGAGAACAATTCAGAGACCTCACCCAACAGATTCGGCTTTCAGTTGAACAGTTGCATAATATGGTATCAGAATTCAGAGCCATATGAGAGATATCAGGTATCACAGGCTTCTAATGGCTTGGACCTGTGGAATAGAATTAAACAGTAGTATTAATTAATGACTAGCTAGCTAATTGCTGTTCCAAACAGACCACCAAATGATGCCTATACTCTAATTAATGAGTAGATGGGAGCATGAAAGTCAAAAAACTAACCTGACTAGTTAGCTGGTCTGCCAAGAAAAAGTCTCCTAGAGTAACCTGTAGAAAGAAGAATACCCAGCAATTAAAAGCCTATCAAGAAGACAAGAACCCATGGAAATAAATAAAACATTTCTGATGAAGCAAAATAGCCACACTCAAACAAGTTCAGATGAAGCAAAACCCATGGAAATAAATAAAGAAATGCAAGAAAGAATAGCATAAAAATCAGAAGAAAGGAAAATGAGGGAAAAGAAAATTTACCAGAGCATCACACCAGATGAAAGAGAGAGCTTCACCATAGGCCAAAGTTCCGAGAATGCACTTTTGGAGAATCCCCTCCATGTCTGAGGGCACCAACCACCAAAAACATAGAACAATCCTCCTATGACCATGGACCAAGTAGAGATTATCATTGCACCCATAGCACCGGGTATTTCCAAGTTCAGTTTGTACACAAAAAGCCTGAGAATTCCCGCACTGAGTACAGTAGCTGATGAAACCATAATACCTGTCAAGAATAGAAGAGCATCATGCAGCATTGCCTCAAATCCAAGTATGTATTTCTCTTTGTTTATGTAAATATAGTCTTACCTATTTTTAGGAATCTTTCCACGATTTACTTGGAGCATGACCCTGAAGACAAGTCCATGGTATGAATAGTATGAGAAAAGTGGTGAGACACAGTATCCTAAAACAGCAGCATCCCTTGGGGCCCCACCTATTAGTTGGAACTTTATGCATTATTTTATTGGTCTCTCTCAGTTTGAACTTTATCTATTATTATATTAGTTTAATTGCACCCAAAATTTCAAAGTCATTGATTAAGTAACTAGAAACTTGACCCTTTGATGTGATTGCTTGATTGTATACCCAATTAAAGAAAGTACACTCTATTAACAAGATGGATATAAATGTAGTAAAGGAAAGAAAGGTTAAAATCATTAGGAAAAGAATGTGGATTTCAGCTTCCTCTTTCCTCTTGTGATTCATGAGATCTACCATTTCCTTGTTCCAGGTTTACAATTCAATGGTTGATAATTTACAATCCTCAGATGAGCTAGATTTGCTAGTGGGTGGGATTCTGTTTTTGGTATCTGATTTTCTTGGTTGGAGCCTTTGGTTTTTGCATAGAACTAGTAGGTTATTTTCATTTTCTGAATTACCATGGGCGGACTGTGTGAATTGGTACTAATCGAACCACTTGGCAAATCAGATTGGTGTCAAGAGATTTAGGTAACTATCATGTGAACTATCTTTAGATGAATAGCCAAATCAGAAAAAGAAAACCTTTGTTGGTCAGTTGCTTTCACCAACTGGTAATATGCCCTTAAATCCCTATGATGAATGAAAACCATGGATTCATATGGGTTAATGGGTCAACATGCCCTTAAATCCATGGATTCTTCGGTTTTCTTTTATATATATAATATTATAAATATATATATATAAATACTATATAATGCATATATATATAGGTCAAAAGGAATGCATGGTAATAAAGCCTGGACCAGGACCCATTTTTGTAATCCTGGAAAACCTTGGAAACCAGCTTTAGACCCGTTCTCTTGAAGAGATTAAGTTTGTTTTACTGGAAAATTAACTGAAATTGATCAGTATTTTACTGACTATATCACAAATAGCATTAATCTAAAGCAAACTGATGAAGGGTGATTTGGCCCAACCTAGCGAGAAGGGGACCGTGGACACGACCTGACTAAGGGATGACAACTCAGCTTGGAAAGCCTATTTCGCAACGTTCGAGCTCGGATATTCAGCCACCTCAGCCCAAAACTCACCTCGGCGTCGGGGCACCTCGGCATCCAATCCAATTCGGAACTAAAGAACCGAAGTATCAGCTCGAGGCTAACAACCCGAATCACCACGTAACCGACTCCAGAAGTTTCTCCAGCAGATCCCGAATCTCTCGAGATCACGATGAGCTAACAGATCCCGACTTTTCTAAGATCACGATGAGAACTCATCACAGCTCCGCCAGAGTTGGAAGTGGAACGAACTCTATCTCCACAACCCGGAGATCGCGGAAATCAATTTGGATGGGTTGAATCCCATCCAAATCAAAATCAATTTGGATGGGTTGAATCCCATCCAAATCAAAATCAATTTGGATGGAGTCAATGGGCCAACAAAACATTGAATTGGACCAGTCCAAATTTAATGGTCCAAAGTATTTATTGGATTGGGTTGGGTTGAATTGAACCAATATCCGGTCCATTGATAGAAGATAAGAATACCATTACATGTGTGCTAAATACCCAAGCTTATGAGAGAACCCATGTGGCGACAAATGCATCACAAAGAAGTGTTGTGTGTTTTTTGAACTCTGATCGATATGGCAGCTAATAATAACTGAATTACTTTTTTCACATATTGGGTCTGGTTCCAAACACTTTGGATCTGCTGCCCACAAACTGTTACCACATCCCTGACCATCTCCTCATGAATGACAAGGGAACTATGTGGATCATAAAAACTGGTTCCAAACACCAAATGATGTTTATCTAAAGCAGTAGCAGAAGCCAGAAAGCAAACAGATCATAAAAACTAACAGGTTTGCTGCTTCAAAATCCTTACATGCATAGAATCAAACACTAGAAAACAGAGTTTCTAGGAAAGCAATGAGATACTAGAAAACGGAGGAATGGCTACTTAACACTAGAAACTGAATTCTTTCATTCCTACTCAGGTCCCCATTTTTTTCAGCACATGTAGAACTAAATCAGCTATATATACAAGTAAAACTGAATTCAGTTCTCAGTCTCACTCGGTCTATATATGGGTATCAAGCATCTCAATATTCAAAACATCTTACTTTCTTTCATTCTTATTCTCTCAACAACAATATAAACAAGTAAATTAATGATTGGTAATTAAGGAAAGAAAAGAATGTCAGTTTGAAAATAACAGATATAAGCTAGGAAAAATAATTTCCTATATCTAGCATCTATGTAAAGGTTTATTAATCTGTCCTACTTTCTAAAGCATGCATCCGTACACATTTTTTCATTTTCTATCTACCATTTCCGTTCATATTTGATTTTCAAACTGGAATCTAACAATTATGGTTTACTTCACTTGTAAACATGTCCTACAGTTAGCATCAATGACCTGTAACTTTTATCTCATCATTGTGGATTTTGGTGCATCCATGATGCATGCCAACTCCACCTAAATGTCATTCCAATTTGTGCACAAAATACCAAGTACTCAGCCTTCTAGAAATTAAAACATGTTTCTGTTTTTTAATCATCTTTTTTATTGGTTTTGGGTTTCAGAAATAGGACTATATTTCTCGTGTCCAAGTCAAGCATAACTTCACATAGATTTTGAGCTTTTCTGTTTCTGAAATGCTAAGTCATCCGATGTCAAAGACAACCTCATATCAATTTGTGTTGTACTGTGAAGGTAAAACACTGCAACTTCAGACTACAATTTGAAGTTTTCTTGGACCGAATAAGTATATAATTTGTTAAAATTTTTGACATAGATATCTTTATTGCTCAATGCTCACAAATCCTAAATATCCAATCAAGGTTTTAAAAGTGATCCGGAAACAAAATTGCTTTGGTCTCTATTTTTTGGATCCTGTTCAACCATTCGGGTATATATCCGATCAAATGCATTTTTCAGTTGAAATTTTAGGTTTAAGATTAGGGTTTAAAAGTTTAGGGCCTTAGGGGGTTTTAGGGTTCAGATTTTAGGAATTTTACAAAAAAAATGAAGAGATTGTGTCCGATCATGATAGGAGTAAATATGTGTTAAAGAACATTTACATACTTGCAAAAACACCAAACAATAGAGACTCTCAAGATCAGCTGAATAAGTTCCAGAAGAATGTTCAATAAATACATAGAGGGAAAGAGAGAATCTCACCTGTTAATTTCAATATCCGGTTGTCTATCTGGTGGTGAGAAAGCCGATATCGAGGTTGCCCTCTGGTTGCCGTCCGATTGTGAGAAAATCTGGACCGCGGTTGTTCTTCGGTTGTGAGAAAGTTGAGATCAAGATCACCCTCTCCCGTCGTCCAGTTGTGAGAAACTATAGACCGAGGTCGTTCTCCGATTGTGAGAAAGTAGAGAGAGAGAGAGCGCGTCCTCTGGTTGTCATCCGGTTGTGAAAAACTACACACCAAGGTAGTTCTCCGTTGTGAGAAAGTAGAGAGAGAACAAGCGAGCGAGCGAGCGAGACAGAGCGAGAGAGAGAGAGAGAGATAGAATCGGCTCGGAGAGGAGAGGGCGGGAAGAAGACGAATCGTGAAGAGGGAGCGGCGTGGAGTGTGTGATTCATAAGGGGCAATTTAACGACTGTCGCTAAAGATCAATATTTCTACCCACCAAATTTTTCTAGTGAGTGTGAGGCTTGGGGTGAGGAGAGGTCTCTTGATAAACATAGGAACGGCTTAAGAGAAAGGACGAGGGTTTTAGGTCAGGGATTGTACAATGGGGGAGTTGGGGCGTACTTGGGGTATTAGATGACGAATGCTTTGGGATATGAAGATTTCTAATGTGAAGAGGATCTCTATTTATGGGAGAGGTCCCGAGATCCTAAAAAATAGGAGATGAGGATATTCGCTCCGCATCAGGGAAGGGAATATTTGATTCGGTGTCAATTATTAGATGCGTTATTATCCTTGATATCCCTCATTACTCACATGTGCTATTATCCTTTTTGGGTGTCATAACTAATCCTGTGGCAATAGTGACGCCATTGTTTGGTAGTTGGTACTTTGTCAATTCATGTGGCGGTTAGCGAAGTCTTTTGTCGTCGTGGATTCGTGTGTGTCTGGGCACATGCGGGCCTCACCGTGGGCTCAGCCTACTGTCTTCTCTAACCCGTCATCTAGAGCGGGATCGCGGGCTGTAAGTTTATCACGCGTCGTAGCAAGTGTGGCTTCATCACACACTCGGGTGTGCTTGGGTCTCTTAGGCGGGTCTTCCTGAGGTTTATTTAGGTTTGGGTGTTGATTGGACTTGGTGGATTGCGGGTTTATCGCGGCTCTGCTTAATGTGTTGTGGGCCCATCGAATGTGCCGCAGGTTCATCACAAAGTGCACTTTCGATGTCACATCGAGAAAATTCCTTAGGTACATGATAACTATTAGATAGTGTATGCCCTTAGGTCCAATCAGATTGATGTACATAAACATTTATCTATAAATGAATAAAGTACATTATTGTTTCATGTTCATATTTGTATGTTTTTCTGTGAATTACCCCTTAAACTAGACACTTCAGAGACTCGTGTTAGTTTGGAAGGTTCTCATCCATTGGATACTTGAGGAGTTTATCCTGATAAGGATGACACTGGTGGGCTGCCAAACAATTGGAGCAGCTTGTTTCAACTTCTAGGGTTTGACCCCAAGCACAGCTAGTCGGTGTTTACAAGAAGAACTGAACCCAGACCAATTTCTAGCTATGTCCTAGACCTTGAAGATAGATGGGCAAAACTAAATAGTTGCACTTAACACCATACTTGATTATGATACTACAATAGGTATTGGATTAAGCTGACTTTGATGTACCAACTAGTGAGATCTAATAAGGGTCAAATAACTGGGCATGTTGGGGTAGTTTGGAAAATTAGTTGGGTGGGTGATCATAGTGATAGAATCGACTCCTGTTGTCAAACAAAGTGAATATCGGGCTTTACACTCGCTTTGATGGAAACCTAAATTACCAATAGTGGATTTCAATTGTACTTGAAATTTGATTTGCAAAATGTATCTATATGTTGTATTTCTATTTTATGAAAAAGGTTTTAATCCCGTGATCCATTCGAGCATAAAGTGTGACACTACATCTTGTAGTTAAGGGAGAGGTCCTCGTAGAATTGGGTAGTGTTCTGATGATTACGAGTAGAGAGGTTAAGTGTAAGAGACCATTACATGGTTGATTACCTGATAGACTTTATCTTACATAAGTCCATTATCCTTGATTCTTCATAGGGTGGTTGAATCCAATGATCATTTAGTTGTTAATATTGGGCCTAGGTGTTCTGATGATTAGGATTGAACCCTTATGGACTTGTGTGGGACCTTTGTAAGGTCCCACACCATACAATATTTAGGCCCAAAGTGGCCATGCAACACTTAGGGACGTGAACAATCGGAGAAAATGGGCCTTAGGCCCATTACTAATATGATTAGTTAAGTGATCACATGACAACTTGACTTGGGTTGAAAATGGGCATGGATCTAGGTATAGAGCACCTATCCTCTCAAGAGGATAATGCTTATCAATTAAAGATAGAGCCCTGATCCAAATTTGATTTGGATCATCTCCTAATTAGATTAGGAGAGTGCTCTATATAAAGGAGAAAGAGGGGAGAGTCCAATTTAGCCAATTCTCTCCACTCTCTTGTTCTCGCTTGCCTCCCAAAAACCCAAGCACAATCTAACCATTGCAAGAACTAAATTTTATCAATTTTTCCACTTTGTTTTTGTAAGAAAAATATTGGGGAAATCAGACTCACAAATCCCATCCAATCCAAGCAAATTGGATAGCAGCTTTGGTGAAACGGTGTTACTGAATCGGCTTCTCATACACACTACACCATCTTCAGTTGGAGGCCAATTTTGGGACTAGTATTGGGCATGAATTACCACTCTGAAAGCTACAATTTATGGACTCCATATCATGTATAGTCAGTTTTGAATTCTGTTTCAAATTTGGTCCGATTCAGTACAAGATTGATTTAGAATTTTCAAATTTCAAAATCACCAAGAAATCGATTCCTGAGTTGGTTTAGAAAATTTTTGAAAATCGCCTACCCATCAAGCATGGTTGGACCATCCATAATCTGATTTCTAACCCTTTAAACAAACTCGACATGGCACCAAAGCTAATACAGAGAAAATCCGAGCTATCTTAGATATGCTACTATCGAGACCCGTTAAGGAAGTCCACCGACGCCGTCCGAATTGTTGAACTTAGCCATTTCATGTTGAGGTCGGTAGGAAGATTTCTACCCTTTTTCCAAGCCATTAAGAAGGTGAAAGACTTCCAATGGACCGAAGAATGTTAGTAGACTTTCGAAAAACTGAATGAATACCTCAGTTCGCCTCCGTTGTTGATGAGGCCAGAGCCCGAAGATGAGTTGCACCTGTACTTGTCAGTAGGTGACAAAGTTATCAATTTAGTACTGGTTTGGATGGAGGAGAAGGTGTTGCGACTCAGCTACCATGTTAGTAGGGTCCTACTTCCAATCAAAACTAGGTTCTCAAAATGGAAATGGTTATCTTTGCTCTAATCATTTCAGCTCGAAAGCTATGGCCTTATTTCTAGGCCCATACAATCGTCGTGCTCACTAACCAGCCACTACGGAAAGTCCTTCAAAAACCTAAAGTATTAGAAAAATGCACAAAGTGGGTAGTGGAACTCAGTAAGTTTGATATTCAATTCAAACCACGACCTACTACCAAAGCTCAAATTCTAGCAGATTTCATCATTGAGTGCACCTTCATCTAAAAAAACATTGAGCCCAACTAAACCATTCAATAGTTTGGAAACCACTACCAACTTAGCATCCTCAACCACTTCGGCAAAAGAATCCTAGGTACTCCACGTGGATAGCTCATCCAACCAGAAGGGTAGCGGTGTCAAACTAGTCCTTTTTGGACCTATTGAAGTAAAGATTGAGTATGCTTTTTGATTTTGGTTTAAAGCCCCAAAAAATGAAGAAGAGTATGAGGCATTGTTACCTGGATTATCATTACCCAGAGAAGTCAGCATAAGGAGAATAGCCATTTACAATGACTCCTAGCTCATCATCAACCAAGTGAATGGGCACTACGAAGCTCAGGAGTCGGCCATAACCAAATATTTGGCAAAGGTATGGGAACTCGCCCAATAGTTTGACTCATTCACTATCCACCAGATCTTGAGATAAGCTGGCATGTTTTATGGAATCTAATGCCCAAAGGTCAATTCACGTAGAAGACCTGGCACGCACTTGTATAGAAGAGACATCGATGGCCGATGTCTCCTCGATTCTAGCTACAGAACCGAGCTATATAGACCCTATTATAGAATATCTACGCCAAGGTACTTTGGCAACTAACCAAGGTAAAGCCCAAAAAATCCAATGCAGATCAGCTTGCTACACCTTCATAAGAGACTAGCTATACAAAAAGTTTTTTATCTTGCTCTACCTCAAATATCTCAGGCCTAATGAAGCCAACTATGTGCTGAGGGAGATCCACGAAGGGATTTGCGGAGAACACTTGAGGGGCAAGTAAGCTGACTTAGAAAGCACTTTGGTGAGGGTATTATTGGTTCACTATGAAGGAGGATGCCAGCCAACAATGAGGTTGATTTCAGTGTCAAACCAACATACCACATTGTTCAGCCATCGATCTGTAGTACCTCACAAATCCTTGGCCATTTTCCTAGTAGGGGATCAACATCCTTGGTTCATTTCCCCCAGCCACTGTTAAGAGAAGGTTCTTGTTGTTTCCATCAATTATTTCACCAAGTGGCTGTAAGCCAAGCCCCTCGTCACTATTACAGCTCAACACATTCAAAGTTTCTTCTATAAGAACATTATATGCAAGTTTGGGTTACCATGGGTGCTAGTCTCAAATAACGGGAAACATTTAGTGACCTAAAGTTTCAAGATTTCTAATTTGAGTTGGGAATCCACTAGAGATTTACTTCGGATTCCTACCATTAAACCAATGGGCAGGCCATGCTAACTAACAGGACGTTCCTCCATGGGTTAAAGGCTTGTCCCGCTTGAGCTAAGGGACAATGGGTTGAAGAGCTCCCTAGTGTGCTATAGGTTTACTAAACTACAAGTAGAACAACCATAGGAGAAATTCCATTCAACCTCACTTTTAGCACTGATGTAGACATTCTAATTGAAATTGAAGTATCGACCCTGAGACCTACGACAAAGAAGAGAATGATGATGAGCTCCAAACTAATTTGGACTTGATAGAGGAAGTATATGAGCAAGCTTCCCCACAAGAGACCTTATACTTCAAAAGGTCATTGTACCTGAGGTAGGTTCTACAAAACTTGGCCCAAAGTGGGAGGGACCCTACAAGGTAGTTAAGGTGCTCGGACCTAGAACTTACCAACTTGAAAAATTGAAAGGAAGACTAGTACCTCATACATAGAATACCAAGAACCTAAAATTGTACTACTAGTGATTTTATCTTCATTTCCCATAAGGTTTAGAGCTCAATTCGCCACTTTGATTAATTTGACTTAGTCCAATTTACTCTTAAGGCTATGTTTGGTTACAATGCAAATAAATTTGCACTAATGCAAAACCATGGCAGTGCAAATGATTTGAGTGTAAATTGTGACCTATTTTCATTTCAAATTTTAACTTATTTTGTTTGATTGCAATACAAATGAAGTAAATTAAGACATGAAGCAAAATAAAGTATAACCCAGAACAAAATTAAATGAGAATTTACATTTTTTCATTTGCACTCCCATGCATTTGTACTAGTGCAAATAAAATTGCACTACAACCA